GGGGGGGGGGGGGGGGGAAGAGGAAAATGGGCCCCCCTTTAAAATAAGACTCATTTCGTGAAAGAAAGAGCAATTTCGTAGTTTCTCTTATATTATGCATTTTTGCGTTGATTATTTGTTTATTTATTTTAGGGAGTATAACCAAAAAATATATTTTTTTAAAATTTAATCAATAAATATATGAATTTTTAATATTGTATGTAAACACATAAACTTTGAAACTTTTATATAAATTCACACAAATTTTTATAAAAATAAACAAATTTTAAGAATCTTCGCATACGACTATACAAAAAATTAATTGGGTTTAGTATTGTTTTAGATTTACGCGAAAATTTTTAAAATTCGTATATTTTTATTCAAAATGAAAAAAAAAATTATATATTTATTTATCAAATTTAAAAAATTCATATTTTTTTTATATTCTCTTTATTTTTATTGAAAAGTACATGATACAAGCGATCGGAATCCAATTAGGCCATGATTGATGGGAATGTATGTCACGGAGGCATATGATTCTGTCTGTCCTTTGGCGTCTCTGAAGGGGCAGACTTGGAAAAAAGAGCAGAGATTGTACTTGAAGGGTCATTTCTTGCAAAGCAAGTAACATAAATAACACAACAGAAAGAAAAGAAGCAATTTCTTTTCTAGGGAAATTTTCGTGATGATTGACGTAAATAACAGATTTATACTATTTTTAAATTATATTCATTTTTGAAAATCTGAAAAAACTTAATTTTTAAACATTTATAAAAAATTCGATTGGATACAAACGTTGCTAACTCATTAACGGTAGAAAAGTTGTTGACTCATTATTAACGACAGATAATCTCATAATATGTCACGCCAAAATACCTACCATTATTAACCGATTTTTTGGTAAAAATTCAAAAAATAAATGATATTTTGTTCTAAAAATTTAAAATTTAATATGATTTTATAAGTCGAAAATTTTTAGTACGGACATATTAATGCCTTAAAACTTGATAATGTTGCAGATCAAAGGTATGAATTTCAAATTCATATTCTATATTCAATATCTATAAGATGTGAGATGTGGATGGACAAAATCTGCAAAATTATCAACCCATTTTCTAATCCATAATTTTTTTTAAGCCCTTTTTTTGCTGCATGAACAACATTCGGTAAGCGTTTTCATATCACGAAAAAAAAAAATAACAGTATATATAAATATAATACACAAGTAATCTTACACAAACATTTGCTTTCCAAAAGGCTCAAAGAAGATCATGTGAGATCAAGTTCTAACAAATCGTTTTACACAACTAAATTTGGATAGTTTAATCAGTGAAACATACGTATTATCTTGTCTCAAATTCGAATTTTAAATTTGAGAAAACAACATATTCCCAAATTATTCGAATATTAAATTTGAGAAAACAACATATATCCCAAATTATATAGTTGATTTTCGATCACAAAATTAGGTTGAATCTTGGTTCAAGACAATCGATTATAAAACCAAATGCTTTTTAGGCACACAGAAAAAGGAAAAGACAAAAAAAACCCTTATTATATATCACTGAATAAACAAAGAAAAATCCTCGAATTTTTCCAAGTCTTCCTTTGAACTGTTTTTTTTTTTTTTGTTTTTGGAATGAGGAGCAGAAACAAAGGTACAAACCGAAGGAAACAAAAGGATCAAACTTGGAGGTACTTGATGGCGGTATGAACGTCCTTGTCACCTCTGCCGCTGAAGTTGACGACCACTTTGGCGCCGTCGGGGAGAGTCGGACAGAGCTTCTCGAGGTGAGCCAGAGCGTGCGACGTCTCGAGAGCCGGGATTATTCCCTCTAACCTCGACACTCTCTTGAACGCTGCATCCCGGTTCGGGAAAAACGGAAGGTCTAAGTTTCTTTCTTCGAAGATACATGGAAGATCTGTAGTAGTTTTCATATAAAAGATTTCAGATTGGATGCTTTACCTTCCAATGCTTCATCGTCCGTCACGCTGTAGTATTCAGCCCTTCCGACGTCTTTCAGGAAACTGTGCTCCGGTCCAACTCCCGGGTAATCTAATCTGTAAAATCCAATAGAAAACGGGTGACCCTTGTTATTTCGGATATATCTTCGGCATATCCGAAAGCAATTTTCAGATTCATGGCATCCGCTGAGAGTTAGGGGAGCGCATAACTACCCAAAAAACAGTACCATGCATGAATACCCGATTTCGGGTATTCAGCCTTTTGCGGGGTACCGGATGGTACAACAACAACAACAACAACATCGCCTTATTCCCAAGTTCATTTGGGGTCGGCCGCATGATTCATTCTTCTCTACTCATTTTGATCTCGGATTAACTCTTTCGGAATCTGCAAGACTGCAACACTTCCAAATCGTTTCTAATGACACACTCCCAAGTAAATCTAAGTCTACCTCTTCCTTTCCTTCTCACCCCTATACATATAATCTCCACCTTTCTAACCGGCGCATCTATCGGCCTACGTTGTACATGTCCAAACCATCTTAAACATCCCTCCCGTATCTTCTCTCCGATACCTATTACTCCTATTTTCTTTCTAATAATCACATTTCTAATTCTATTCATTCTTGTGTGTCCGCACATCCATCTCAACATACTCATCTCGGCCACATTCATTTTAGACATATGGTGACAGATACCAGCAAATAACTAAGTACGTTATCAAATGACATATATATATTCTTGTCTTCTGGTACCTGATGAACCCATTTTTTAGTTTTATGCAATTTTTTGTTATAATTCTGTTTTATCTAATATAATTTTCGAATTCAGATACCCATTAACCGAACATATTGTCGAATACCCGTAATTCGTATACATGAGATTTTCGTATATGAGTACGGATATCAAATTATGATACCCGAAACCGAAACCTTCGGATACCCATCCGACACTCTGAATTTTTCGGATATCCAAACCCGTACCTGCTCCATTGAGGATTGAAGAGGCTAGGCCCAGGTCTTAAAAAAAAAACATTTCAAGCAACAACAAAAAAAGGATCTTACCCGGCACTAATGGAGTGAGGCTCAATGATTTGGCCATCGTCGTCCTGAAGCAAGTAACTCATAGCTCCATGGAGCACACCCACCTCTCCCTTCGTCAATGTCGCAGCATGTTTTCCGCTGTTCAGTCCGAAACCGGCAGCTTCCACTCCGATCATTCGGACGTCTGAATCATCCACGAATTCATGGAAGAGCCCCATCGCGTTAGATCCCCCTCCCACACACGCAACTAACACATCCGGCGTCCCGCCCCATTTCTCCAGAGCTTGTCTCCTCGTTTCTTTCCCGATCACCGCATGAAAGTCTCTGACCATCATCGGGTATGGATGAGGCCCAGCCACAGATCCTAATATGTAATGGGTCGTCTCCACGTTCGTCACCCAGTCCCTTATCGCTTCTGAAGTTGCGTCCTTTAACGTCGCTGTTCCAGAATGAACTCCCCTCACCTGCATCGTCAAAGATTGGAATTGTCCAGATCTGAGATCAACGTGATCTTTAGTCGTCGGATGAAACAGGTGGATCGATGTTGTGATATTATTACCTCAGCTCCAAGTAGCCTCATCCTGAAGACATTAAGGGCTTGTCTCTCCATGTCCTGAGCACCCATGTAAACGATGCACTGCAAACCGAACCGAGCACAGACAGTGGCCGTGGCCACACCATGTTGACCAGCTCCAGTCTCGGCTATGATCCTCTTCTTGCCCAAACGCTTGGCCAGAAGTGCCTGAGCCACTGCATTGTTGATCTTGTGAGCACCCGTGTGGTTCAGGTCCTCCCTCTTCAGGTATATCTCCGGCCCTTCGCCATTTTCCCGCCTGTAATGCTCGGTAAGCCTCTCGGCATAGTACAGAGGACTCTCCCTACCCACGTAATCTTTCAAGATTCCAGCCAATTCTTTCTACAGTTTCATCAACACAAAACGTACAAATCGGTATTAGAGCATGAGAACTACATCCAACCTCAAAGACAAATCACATCAGACAGAGAAATTGATAACATAGACATCATTCCATTACTTGATTGTAATGACTGCTTCTTGTTGAGTCTACACAAATCGAACAAGAACAAGTTTCACAAATGAGCCAAAAACCTTGCTGATTCCATTTACTAGAACTACGAACTACACGCGTATATGTACGTCTACGCAGTTGTATTCTATTGCCTTCTGTAAAAATTTCAACAATTCCAGTATATCACATCTCGAATCCACAAATAGACGCACTAAATTCATCTAATTTCCCATCAAATCCCTGAAAGCTTTCTCCTTTGAGAATGAACACCGACATAAACGAATGCCCGTTTCGATTTGATTCAAATCGAGAAACGGGTCGAAAGGGGACCCATCAAATACCTGGAAATCTTCGTCCTTGGCGAGCGAATGGAAAGCCGATTCGAGCTCGGAGAGGGCGTGCATTAGGGTTTCGGGGACGTACTTCCCACCAAATTTCCCAAACCGACCGAACGAATCGGGTCGCTGCCCCGAAGACAGATCGGGCACGGCCTTGCTCTTCTCCTTCCCCGCCATTTCAACAACTGGTTCCTTGGCGATGGTGCAGGAGACGGAGAACGACGAAGACCTGGAGCGAGACGATGGCAGAGGCGTAAATCTGGGGAGCTGGAAAGGGGATTTCAGATGGGTCAGCTCTGAAGAAGAAGGAACTGAAACGGATGGTCTGAAAGTTGCAGCCGTGCCCGATGCCGCCATCGCTCCTCCTCCTCTCTCTCTAAGACACCGATACAGACCAGTTTGATGTGAGGGCTTTTTATAGATTCTCTGAATCTCTCACTGTTGATTAGTCTTTTTCTGACCACAAAATCAATAAAAGGAAACAATATACGAAGATGAATCAAAGTAATAACTTGACGAAAAAGGGAAAAAAAAAATAAGAGGATGGTATTAGTAGGTAAGCATGATTGGGGGTTGGGTATTGTTTATCACGTGCTCAAATACACTTCAATCGATTCCTTTTATACATGCAATTGGCTGAATAACAGAGAATTGTATATATTGAATCTAAATTCGATTTAAAATTTAAATTAATCCAATTTCTATAAATTAAAATTTTCAATTAGAACCGAATATATCAAAATAATCAATGTTTTCTCGAAATAGAACTATTTTTATAAAAAAAAAAACTGATAATAATCAAACGGGAATCGAAATAAAAACGAAATATTCACTCTAAATTAAAAGAAAACACTATTTGTAATTGTTTATCTTTGAACGTAATGTTGACCTTCTAAAATAAATTGTTATTCAAGAAAAAATAAATTGTGTATGAATTCTATACATTTTTCAAAAAAATTCTTTGGAATTATGACATTTGAAGACGAAAAACTATAACGAAATCGTCTTAATGGTAATTTCTTCTTTAAAAAAAAAAGGCGAATCACGTGTGAAGTAGTTGGGCATGTGATTTTATGTGTAGGCAGCTATGGTGGTTCAGCTCATACGAACAATGCGTGAGACTACAATTTATGATGTGTGCAATTGGTACATCTTCTCCCTTGCATTTCAATGGTTAAACAAGAAATTATCGGATTATAATATTGTATTTCAATAGCATATATAATATACCCATAAAAACTTTTTTTTATAAAAAAAAGGAACTTTTACCATTTAAAATCGCAAAGACAATAATTACATATACCCTTTTTAAAAAATCTTATAAATAAATAATAAGATTTAAAGTAATCTAGTGAAACCACGTTAATATCATAATAATATTTTAAATTATGATTGACTTATAAAAATGTATATAAAGGTAATTAAATATATTAATTTAAAAGTAATATATGTGAGTATTATATATTTAATTTTAAAGTTTTTTTATAATTAATCAATATTAAAATCAAGTTTTTTTGTAACTGTATATCCTATACTAAGGTCCATACTAATCTCGGAGGCGAGATTCAACCATTTAATTTAGATTATACGTTTTCTCCTCAAATTTGAGGTTCGAATTTAGGGCCGGACAAATGATTTACATCTCATTTTATCGGTTGAATTATACAAGTTTGGTTAATATTTAAACCAAATTACATCCAAAAATAAATAATTTGTTATTGATTTAAAAACATAATTTTTTTAATAAAATACAATTATTATTATTATTCAAATTTATTATTATTTAAAACGAGATTTGTTGATTTATAAATAATAATAAATAAATTAGAAAATATAATAATAAAAATATACGTCAATATACAGTGAAATAAAAATTTTACATTATAAAAAATTAATAAAAAATATATTTTTCTCTATCAAATAAATAATTTCTATTGTTTTTTACTAAATTTATATCAATAAATACTATAATAATATAGTCAATGAAAAAAATAATAAACCGGGTCTTTCGCCTAGTTATTTAAAAGAAAAAGGAAAAGGCCAGGGTTACCACTTGTAACCTTTTTTTTTTTTTTGGTATAATGCGAAAAAGCGGTAACTTACCACTACACTAATCAGGCAATTCATTTGCCAAGAGTTCGGTTCGATCTTCATCACGTGAGATGGCCCCCTCTCTTTTATTGACGTCTTACCTTCCCTTAGTGAAGAATCCATGCAGCAAAGCGCATATCTCCTCTCTCGTGTTCCTTGATGAATTCATCAATGGGATTTTGATATAAACTATAATTTCTTTGAGATTTTTTTTATGTAATTGTTGGATTCACATTTATGAATGATATATATGATTCAAAAGACTTGGATATATTCAATCGATAAAATGAGGCCGCAAAACGTCTGTCCAGTTCCGATTTCGAGTTTCAAATTTAGAAAAGAGACGTGTATTTCAAATCATATGACTGAGTCTAACCCCGAGTTTAAATTGGATTTTGATCCAGATATTCAGTTATAAAACTATAATTTCTTTGAGAGTTTTTCTAGTATGTAGTGGTTGGATTCATATTTATGAATAAGGGTCTAGCGAATGCTTAATTAGCTCAGGACCCCACTACTCGTCATACTTGATTTGGTATTGTTACTGCACATGACTCAAAAGACTTGGATATATTCAATCGATGAAATGGGGTGTAAAACATTAATTTGTCTCGATCTTAGTTCAAACCTCAAATTTGGAGAAGAGACATATATTCCAAATTATATGGCTGACTCCAACCTTTATATCAGTTTGGACCTTAGTCCAGACTCGGTTACAAAAAAAAGATATTACCATATATTTGCTCTCTTTGTAATATTTCATATCTATATATAATTTCTCTGTTGGATCTATGGATCAAGCTTCTCTTTGTTGCAGAAGAAAATGTTGTAGAAGAAGCACGTGTTAGTTGCATGAAATGAAGTGATGTTTGCATAGAGAGTTCTTGTTTTTTATGTCTTCATTTAATTCAAAGAAATAGTGAATTGAGAGAGAGAAACACTTTTTGAGAGGAATTAAAAGGAAAATAACAGTGGTATCAGAGCGTTTAGTGGTCTTTTTGGGATTTGTAAGAGTATGGGTCGGAAAAGATATTCGATTTCGGGTTTTTGTTTTCGAGTTTGAAAGAAATGAGAGTCATTGCAATGAAGACGACTCCGATATGGGCTGAAGAAGCGATGGTGCAGAAAACGGTTGTTGATGAACAATCAGAGATTGATTTGGTAAGATTTTTGCGAATGCTGTGTTTTCTTTTAATACAATCAAATGTGTTTGTTTTAAGAAGGTTTGGTTTTCTGTAATCATTATGTTCGATTTCAAAGCGCATAGAGGGTTGAAACACAAGAGAGAAAAGTGTTGAATTCATCTATGTTGAGAGGAAACCGAAAAGGGTTTGTTTGTGTATTTGTATATGTATTTATGTATTGTGTTAATTAATATAAGAGTGTTTGTTTGAGAAAACTTATATTCTCTTTTACCTTTTATTACCATATATTCGTGAGCTGTCGTCCTAACTTAGAAAACTCTCATATTTGGAAAGATTCCTCCAAGAATTTTAGACGTAAGATGTCAGATACATTACATTTGTCGCCTTACTTGGACTGAGTTTTCTTAATTACAAAACTGTTCCTCGCCATCTACTAGCTGCAGCTGAAGAAAGGTTTTTCAGACAAAAATCACGGGTAATTTGGCTAAGACTTGGAGACCGTAACACTACCTACTTCCACCGAGCGATGCGCTCTAGGAATGCCAGAAACAGAATCCACTTTCTAGTGGACGAGAATGGATTGCGCCATGAATCCCACCAAGAAATTGCTGATCAGGCGGTTCGGTATTTCACCTCTTTGATTGGAGCAAGAGACGAACACGTTCAGGCCCCTAGTGTCCAATGGTTCAGAGATCTAATCCCTTCCCAGTGTGTAGTTGTGCTTTCTCCATTTCGATTTGTAGATCTTTCTTTTCTTTTTTAACCTAAGACTGCCGGTTCAACCAGTAACGATGGGCCAAACCTCTTTCTCAATCTAGGTTCGAACATTAGGAGCACATCTTAAGTGGTAATTAATTACCCGACCAATCTTCTACGTTTTGGATAAATATAATTGAGTCGAAATTCCCGTAAAGATTTCACTTATCCAAAAAAAAAAAGTTAAGTTTTGAAGACAAAAATCTTTAGAGCGTAAAATACAAAGAATAGGAACCATACATATATAACATATCCTAACAAAGCAAACATATATATATATATATGTGTGTGTATAGTTCTCATAATTAAGACGTTACGGCTTAATAAATAAGATTGCCACATCAAATGCGCATTATTATTTGGATCAGCCATTAACTTTTATATATATATATATATATATAACATCAAATATCATAGAAAAGCTTCTTGAAGAGCTCCATGTGTTGAGTCTCCAAGCAGATATAGAGGGATAAACCATCCTCTCTGGACCGACCAGACATCAGATAGCCTTTTCCGTCGCACCGAATACTCGCAGGGGCGACGTGAAAAGGCGGCCCCCAACCGAAATCCGCTTCGTACATCGGCATTTGAGTCCAACTGACAATGCTCAGATTAGGGTTTTGAGAGACTGGCCTCCCGGTTAAAACCTCTATGGCCTGAGGATTGTCGCGCAAGAAAGCGAGCCCCGATCTTATGTACTCGTCGTCCACTTCCTTCACCGCTTTCCGGATCCGACCAGCCGTCGAAGACAAGGGTTCCTTCACAATGTCGCCTGAATACGCCATCGGAGCCAAGGCCTGGACGACATTTCCGAAAAGCTCTTTAGGGATTGGTGGACGTAGCCGAGACCGAGCGTCCACCGCGATGTAAAGCAACGTCTTCTCCTCGTCCGGTAGGTCACGTGCTCTGCACGCACATCTCCACACGTGGGCCGCTAACGACTCGTAGAGACTGTACTTCACGAGGCTCGATTCTGCATGTGCGTCCGCCTTGTCCCTCAAGCTGTCGACTTGTTTAGGGTTTAGCTTGAGGTAGGCGGTAGAGGTTACAAGAGCGGCGGGAGAAATTTTCCGGTAGCCAAAAATGGCGGAGGAATCGAATTCAGGGTGGGGAAATTTCGGGGACGGCAGGGCGAGGTGGTCGAGGAGTTTCCGGTCGTGGATGGGAGGGTCGATGGGGAGGCCACGAGAAATGCTGGCCCAAGAATTGATGAGATGCATTGCCGAGAGACCGTCGACGATCATGTGGTGGTTTCCGATGCAAAGACACATCCCTCCGCATTTGAAATATGTCACCTTTCCATTAAATTTCACAAAACGTCAATAACCCCATTTTATAAAACAGTATTTTCTTAATTTTTATTAAATTGAAACAAGGAAGAATTATACTAGAAATGTATTATTTGCATACACAACTAAGAAGAAAGGAATCTGA